GGACACAGCTCCCCCAACAGATCCAAAGGGACATCCTCTCCGTCCTGAGAGCGTACGCCATCGTCTTCGCATGGGGACCAGAGGACATGCCGGGCATCAGCCCAAAAGTGATTACACACCGACTCTCGGTCGACCCGGCCTCCTCCCCCATCAAACAGAAGAAGCGCTACCTCTCAGCCGACAGGAGAGAATTCGTCAAGGCCGAGGTGGCCATGCTGCTCAACATCAAGCACATCAAAGAGGTGAAGTACCCCACGTGGTTGGCGAACGTCGTCCTCGCCCCAAAGCCGCCTACGTTCAGAATGTGTGTTGATTACACTGACTTGAACAAAGCGTGCCCAATGGACCCATTCCCTCTCCCCAACATTGATCAGTTGGTGGATGAGACGGCAGGGTGCGAGTTGATGTCGTTCCTCGACGCGTTCAGAGGGTACCACCAGATATCCATGCACGAAGATGACGCAGAGAAGACTGCTTTTATGACCCCGGAGGGAATTTTCTGCTACCTCGTCATGGCCTTTGGGCTCAAGAACTCCGGCGCCACCTACACGAGGATGGTAGCCCGGATTTTTAGAGCAGTCTTAGGTCGGACGATGGAAGCATACGTCGACGATATGATCGTCAAGAGCAAACAATCCACAACTCATGCCGACGACCTCCGGGGCATCTTCGAGATCATGAAGAGATACAACCTCCGGCTCAACCCAAAGAAGTGCACCTTCGGCGTCCAGGGAGGTAAATTCCTGGGGTACCTGGTCAGTCGAAGGGGCATCGAGGTGAACCCGGAGAAAATACAAGCCATCATCAATATGGAGCCACCCCGCAACATCAAAGAAGTACAACGGCTGACGGGACGCCTTGCGGCCCTGAACCGTTTCCTTTCAAAGTCCGCGGAGAAGTCGCTCCCCTTCTTCCAAATAATGAGAAAGGCCACTAGCTTCAAGTGGACAACGGAGTGCCAACAGGCCTTTGAAGAACTGAAACAATATCTCGCCTCCCCACCCGTCCTATCCAAGCCCCAACCCGGCGAGACTCTCTTCCTCTACTTGGGGGTGAGCACGTCGGCCATTAGCTCTGTTCTCATCAGGGAGGACGACGGGGTGCAAAAGGCAATATTCTACGTCAGCAAGACGTTGCGGGAGGCCGAGCTCAGGTACTCCCCTATTGAGAAGACGGTGCTGGCCATCGTCCACACAGTGAAGAAGCTGGGGCACTATTTCCAGGCTCACCCCGTCCACGTCCTCACACATCAGCCGTTGGGCGCCCTCATGAGGAGCCCAACCAGCTCTCCAAGGATGATCAAATGGGCAATATTCTTGAGCCAGTACCAGATTGAGATCAAGCCGAGGCCATCCATTAAAGGGCAAGCCTTAGCTGATTTCGTCACAGAGTGCACGGCAAGGGAGACGGCCGTTACCACCACAGGGGCTGAACCAGATGAAGCCTGGACCCTCTACACGGACGGGTCCTCGGCCACCAAAGCTTGTGGGGGTGGCGTCGTCCTCATCTCCCCAGAAGGATTCAGAGCGTACTACGCCATCCGCTTCAACTTCAAGGTATCCAACAATGAGGCTGAGTATGAAGCGCTCCTCAGCGGACTAAGACTAGCCGCTGGTCTTAAAGCACGCCACGTCAGAATCAAATGCGACTCCAAACTCGTAGTGAGCCAAATGGAGGGTTCCTACGAGGCCAAAGAAGGGAGGATGAAGCAATACAAGGAGGCCGCTGCGGAATTGCTCAAGGCGTTCGATACCCACGAGATCACTCAGATCCCAAGGGCGGAGAACGCCGAGGCCGACATCCTCTCCAAACTCAGCTCCGACACCCCTGAGCACATCTCCAAGATAGCTAAGGTGGAGGAGTTGAGCATGTCGAGCATTCACGCTAGCCCCATACTCTCCATACAACACCAGCCGGAGGATTGGATCACTGACATCGCAACCTACATCACCTCCGGCACGCTACCAGAGGACGAGGAGAGGGCCAAACTAGCCAAGCTCAGGGCCCCAAGCTATGTCATTGAGGGTGACAAGCTCTACAAGAGATCATACAACGGCACCCTCCTCCGGTGCCTACACCAGAATGAGGCCGAAGTGGCCATGGAAGAAGTCCACTGCGGCGTATGCTCATCACATCAGGGGCCCTTCAGCATGTCACGCCGCCTCGTCGTCCAAGGCTACTTCTGGCCGACGATGGCACGCGATTGTGCTGAGGTCGCCCGCAAATGCAGCGCATGCCAACACTACCAAAGGGCACCTGGTCGGCCGGCCGTCAACTACGCCCCGGTCAGCACTGCCATCCCATTTTCCAGATGGGGCATCGACCTCGTCGGCCCATTACCAAGAGCTGCGGGCAACAACAGATACATCATCGTCGCCATCGATTACTTCACCAAATGGGTCGAGGCCGAACCACTCGCAAGCATCACCGGAGCGCGGTGTCGAAAGTTCGCCTACAAGAACATCCTCACCCGCTTCGGCGTGCCTCAGGAAATTATATCAGACAACGGCACCCAGTTTGAGGCCGAGCCGTTCCAAAGCCTCCTCCAAGAATGGGGTATCAAGCACCGTTTCTCCTCCGTTGCCTATCCTCAGGCCAACGGGCAAGTTGAGAACGCCAACAGAACCATCTTGGAGGGACTAAAGAAGAAGCTTGAAGAAGAAGGCGGAAGTTGGGTCGACGAGCTCCCCAACGTCCTATGGTCCTACCGAACTACTCCAAGGAGGGCCACCGGGGAGACGCCATTCTCCTTGTGCTACGGCTTCGAAGCCAAGGCTCCCACTGAAGTCACCCTCCCCAGCCGACGGGTCACACAATACGACCCCGAAGCCAATGAAGAAGCCATGAAGATTGACTTGCACCTCATTGACGAAAGACGGGAGATGGCTTACCTTCGGGCAGAAAACTACAGACGCCAAGTCAAATCCTACTATGACGCCAAGGTACGCTCCCGCGAATTCCAAGTGGGGGACTACGTCCTCCGCCGAAGGGAAGTAAGCAAGCCAACGGAAGGAGGAAAGCTCGCCGTCAAATATGAAGGGCCCTACATCGTCAGCGCCGTCATCAAAGCCGGCACTTATAGACTAAAGAACCCTAATGGGTCAGATGTACCACGATTGTGGAATGTACACCACCTGGTGAAATTTTACCAATGACTCGAGAAGCGGTGAAGCGGGCAACGTCCCCCACCCCTCGGCTTAGTGGTTGAATAAAACATCCTCGGCCTAGCGCCACTTGTTGAATAAAATTCATGTTTCATCCAATCTTTTAAGATTTGAGCAAGGGGACCGCATCGGCCTAAGCAGTGCAATCACCCGGGACCGATGCGACCTAAAGCCGTCGCAATAAACGACGCACCTAAAGCCGTCGCAATAAACGACGCATCTAAAGCCGTTGCAATAAACAACGCACCTAAAGCCGTCGCAATAAACGACGCACCTAAAGCCGTCGCAATAAACGACGCATCTAAAGCCGTTGCAATAAACAACGCACCTAAAGCCGTCGCAATAAACGACGCACCTAAAGCCGTTGCAATAAACAACGCACCCAAAGCCGTTGCAATACACAACGCACCTAAGGCCGTTGCGATCCACAACGCGCCTGCAAAGCCGTTGCATAGACAACGCACCCGAATATCGTATCGGCACAAGCGGTGAAACACCCAAATCGGCCGGCGATATGTAGGACGAAGGACCTGTGTGCATGGTCCGACGTCTTCAAACGGAGAAGCATACCGCGTCGTCCTCGCGGAAACCGCAGGACGACAAGCCTGAATTAAGGCCGAGGTTACAAAAACTCCACCCGTCAGTAAAATTTCGTTCAGGACCACAAAGGGCTGCCGTCTAAAGACGATACATAGCCCGGTCCCTCGTCGACGATAGACGTGGAAAGGCCAAAAAAGATGCCACTGACACACCAAGCCGAGGGCGTATTTACTCCCTCGCACTAATTCACGCGAAGAGCGTAGCGGACAAACTACCGCAAACGGACGAAGGGACAGTAACCCTTCGGCCACCCAAAAAAAAAAAAAAAAAAAAAAAAAAAGAGGGAAGCCGACGGACCGCGCACTCGCCGGCCTCGAGCAAAAAATAAAATCCCCACAAAAACCAAAGCCTCAAAATCGGCTAAGTACATATCAGGTTTTCACCTAAGAGGAATCCGAGGTGCACGCTTCGGCCTCAACCACAGCTTCATAAAAGAATCGCTTCGGTTTCGGTTATACGAAGCTACATTCAAGTGTTTGGACGACGGGGGCGCATCGTCTCCGATTAAGAAATCCCAAATGGCGAACCGAGGCAAAAAACCTCCATCAAGTCAAGGCGAGGCGATACCAGCCCATATCTAGGTATCGCTTCGTCCTCAACCAACCAAAACGAAAGCAGCACACCAAGGGTTGACGAGGTACAACGTCCCCGGTGATAACAAATGGAAAGAGGACCGCTACGTCTCAGCGGACGGATGTCACAAGATAAACTCTTGGCACTTAGAAAGATTTCAGAACTTTGGGGCCATGCCTTACCTAAGACGCAAGGGACGTAGCGCCGCGCCGAGGAAAAGTTTCAACACTTGGTAGATTTTTGAAACACATGTTCTAAACACAACAGTTCAGACGAAGGGGCGCATCGTCCCTATTATAAGATGCAGGAAACACGCGCAACGTCCTCACACACATACCAGTGAGGCGAGGGTGCGCCCACATCAACACAGAGGAAATGATGGAACGCATCGTCTCAAAATTGGCAAATTTGCCAAGATAAAAACTGGCGAAGCAATGTTAGTCAGACGACGCGGCATCAACAAACCAAACACCAAACATAAAAGAGAAATCGAAGCGAGGAACAACATTCATACTTGAACAAAAAAGTCGTCATTAATGATTCAGAACATACAAGGAGGGCGCTTCGGCCATTACAAAAAAGGGGCACTTCGGCCAACACTAATCTACCAGACGCTACGTCTGAGACAAAAAAATGAAAGAGGAAAAGGAACACTAAGCTACATCTCCAGCCTGCCCCTGGCCCCCATCAACAGCCCCACTGTCGGCGTCATCCTCGTCGTCCTCGGCGGTTTTTGACTTAGCTGAAGTCCGGAAGAGATAGTCGTCACTTTCGGTCCATGGCTCCTTTTCCTCATCGGAGCTCAGAATGGGGCGCTGCCTCTCGGCCAATGGAAGCTTCAACTCCTCCTCAGGGTCCTTCATCGGTCTGGGGAGGCCGATACCCTGGGGCCTCAGATTCTTGACACGCCGGCGAAGCCTCCGGTAAATGAGCATTTGCATACGCCGTTGCCCAAGGTCATAGAAGACCTCCATCTCTTGCTTCCAAAAAGCTTGACCAGCCGGGTCTTCTTGCGACCAAGCTTGGAAGCGATCGGCCACCACCTGAAAGCAGAACTGGCGATGTTCATCGGCTTTCCACCCCTCGGCCATGAACAGATCAACAGCCTTCTCGGCAGCCCTCTCCGCTTCGGCCTTCAGCTCCTCGGCCTTCTTCGCCTTATCTTCTGCCAACCGGCGGGCTGCGGCCTCCCCCTCCAATTTGGCCTCAGCTGCAACGGCCCTGCTCTCAGCCGCATCGGCCTTCTCTTTAAGGGAGCTGACCTCGGATCGGAGAAGCTCCAGGGAAGCCAAGGCCTCATCGGCCGAGGCAACCTTTTTCTCAGCTTCCCGAAGGCGAGCGATCTCCTCCTCCTGCCGCCGATGCTGCTCCATCAGCATGAAGGCCCCCTGCAAAGACAAAACCGAAGTCAGACAAAAGTCGGGCAAGAAAAAAAGGGGGGAAATGAAAAAATCGTCAAGTACAAAAGCAAGGAACCTACTTGGACGACGTAATCCAACCCGCCATCGAAGAGACGCACTTCCTTGCCTTGACGACGAAGATAGGCCCTATCTTCATCGGGAATGGCCTGAAACAGGACGTCGTGGCCAGAGACTCTCTCATTGAAGAGCCCGCCCTTCGTCGGATACCGCACCGTCACTTCATATAAGCCGGTGGACAGTCCCCGACCGGAGCGAGCACCAGCATCAGTAGCTCTGTTGAAGTTAGACGAAGCGGGGACAAGGGCGTCCGAAGCCTTACCCAGCGTCAGGTCCTCAATCACCTGAACCTCCGAGGCATCATCCCCTTGGACCGGAGCCTGTGAGGCAGCCGTAGCAACATCAGAAGGAAGGGTCTGCCTCGGTTTCTTGACCCCTTGGGCCGGCTTCAACCCCGCTTCGGCCAGAGTTTGCTGACCCTCAGCGGGTCTCCTCTTCTTTTGAGCCGCAGCCTTTTTTGCGGCACCGGCCTGGCCCTTTGAGCCATCAGCCGAGCTTTTGGACGCATCGGCTTGCTGGGCAGCCTGCATTTCCTTGTCAACCATCTTCTTGGCTTGAGTCATAAAAAGCTTGCGACTCATCTCGAATCCTGCAGATGCGAACATAAAACAGAGTTAGAAACAAAAGATATACAAAGTACAAAGGATCAGAGGAAAGTAATCAACCTTCGGCATCGGCTGGGACGCCGAGGTAGGGCCCATCGGCCTCTTCAAAGTAACCAGACATCCTCGGCCATAGCCCACAGTCGGGGTCACCGGGGATGAAGTACCTCATCATACCAAGGGCGGCAATTTTGAACTCAGTGATATATTTATCAACACTCCATGGCCCCCCCTCGAGGAAGGCCTCCACTTGGGCATCAATCTCAGCACTCCTCGGCGGATCGTGCAGATTAAAAACACCACTATGACCTTGAGAGGGGAAGAAGACCCCATCGGCCAGCTTCACGAAGCAAAATTTTGCTTTCCATCCATGGATTGATGAAGGAAGATCGGTGAAAGACCTCTTCTTCGGTAGTTGCTGAAGGGCCGCATATCCAGCACAGTTTTCATGACTCCCTCGCCCGATACGGTACAGATTCATAAATAAAGCCGTCGTCGGCTCCATCCCCAACTCACCACATCGGAGGAGGAACCCGACGATGAGGGAGTAGCTATTTGGAGTTAACAACGCCGGAGGAATATCTATCATGTTCAAATATTCCGCTACAAAAGGATGCAACGGAAACCTTAGGCCCTTCGAGAAAGCCATCGGATACACCCCGAAGTAGCCGCTGGGAGGATTTAGGACGTGGTCTGTCGGCCTCGGGGCCCTAACCCGACCATAAGGACCTACATACAGTTGAGCCACCTGGTACTCACTCGGCGAACACTCCGGCTTGATGAGGTATATGTTGGTCAAATCCAATTGAGATCGGCCGACGGCCATACCTCTCCGCCGACGCGACCTACTTTTCTTCACACGCGGAGGGACGGTTCCCGGGACGGAAGAAATCGGAGGAGGACAAGGAATGGCGGCAGAAGAGGCATCACCCGCTCCATCCCCTTGAAGCTTAGGCTCAGAGCTCGCCTCGTCCTCCCCAGAACTGTGCGCACCCGCATCAGCACTAAGCCTCTCTTCGTCCACTGAGGTACGGTAGTCAGCAGTGTTTTCCATCTCCACCTCAAAGGCTTCAATCACCCGCAAATCAACCTGAGGGGACGTCTCGTCCTCGTCAAAGGGCCAATCCTCTTCGTCCAACGAAGCTGTCAAGTCAATAGGGGAGGGGATGCTACGGCCGTCAGGAAACGGCATAACACCTAAGTTTATTCCTAAGGGTGGTTTCTCGGATCAAAGTGACTTTCCTAGAAACACTAGATCTAACCCCCTAGGAAGCAAAAATATAAAGGAAAAAGCGAAGATTCAAGAACCTAACCTTGAAAGTTTTTGAAGGTCTGAAGAACACTTGAAGATTTCTCGGAAGCACTCTATCTCTCTAGAAATCTCAGCAGCACTTCAACTCTAGCAAATGCAAATGGGGAAGTGGCTTCGGAATGAAGGGTATTTATAGACACTCACCAACGGTCACTACACGTGGCACAATCCGATTGGCCACCACAACGGCCGCCTCCCCCAAGAACCAATCAGGGCTTGACTTTTCACATTCTACTCTAGTGCTACTGCTACGGCCCAACAGGCCCCGAGATTAGGGTAGGCACCGGCCTACTCACTCAAAACCAAAGAGAAACCCGCTACGGCCCAGTTTTACCAAAGACATGGCCGCATCAGCAAAATACGCTACGGCCCCAAAGCACTCCCAAGGACCACAAGTACCGCTACGACTCCTCACGCGCACATCGTTTGACGATGACCCTGGTATTGCGGCCTTCGTCCAAGGGTTCTCCCACAGGGTTACCTTGGACAGGTTCGCCTAAGGGTTGGACTCACGACTAACGCATGGGGTACCGTCTCGTCTCAGCAACATCTTGACTCCCTTGTGCCTCACATACTCTTCGGCCAAAGGAGTGGGGGACTGGGGGACTGTATCGGCCACGAGAAAAGAAAACGTAACGGCCTTAATGCAAAGGGTGCGCTACGGCTTGCCAACAACAAAAGCACTAAGGATCGCATCGGCTACAGAGCCCAGGAATTAGAAACCCAAAATACAAAATCTAAGCGCGCAACGGCTACGCACACTGGGGGACCGCATCGGCTCACCAGAGCAAGAACCCACAAATCAAACGCTTCGGCTACATGACAAATCAAAGGCGTGCGTCGCATCGTCTACATAAATGGAATCAACCATCTCCATCTCATGAAAATATGTCATCGCTACGGCCAAAAGAATAGATGGGAGCTCTTCGGCCCCAACAGGAGGACGAAAGCATGCCAACTTATCCACCAGGATTCATCGCATCATCTACAAAAAAGAAAAAGCGCATCGCCTCGTCTTCAGAAGCACTTCCACAAAGAGTGCAGCGGCCAGCATCAAGGCTATAAATTCCCAAACGCGCTTCGTCCACATCAAACAAGGGAACCGCTTCATCCAAAATCAAAGCAAGAACTCTTCGGCCATCAAACGCCTTAGACTCACGCAACGGCCAGCCAGAAAGGAACAAGTACTCCCTTTCGCTTCGGCTTCACCTCAGCTCAGAGAGTGGGGGACTCCTGATAGAGTATATGGGCCTGGACCCCATAGCCCACATGCTCAATGGCCCAAAAGACACCAGCGGGACACCCGCATCGGCCAGAGGCACGTAGCGTCCAAGAGAGAAGATATCGCCTGATTTCTATGGACCGCATCGTCCATGGACCGCATCGTCCATGGACCGCATCGTCCATGGACCGCATCGTCCATGGACCGCATCGTCCGGACTTCGTCCGGGCAGAATGTATTTTCCTATTTTTTGTACTAAGTGTTGTACTCAGCCCATTAGTGGCCTTTATTCGCCCAGAGAAGGCATGATTATTGTAATGGGCCTCCTAAGCCCAAGGCTAGGGGCCCAAATCTACATTTTTACCTATAAATAGACCCCAAGGGGCTAATTATGGGGGGTTCCTTTCCCAATTGAGAAATATAATTGCTCACTTTCTCTCTCTAGCTCTCACTTCTCTCTAGAATTAATACTCTATCAATGTCATATTACTTAAACTTTTCATATTGTCCACTTTATTAAACTTTCATGTTAAATGCACAGACCATTTTGTAACAGGCGTTTCATATATTAATTAATGAATAAATTCGGAAATTGATAATGACCTTAATCCTTGTACATAGCACAAAATGTATTGTTCGAATCCAATACCTATACACTAATACACCAGGCCATATTTATAATGTATAACGTATTACGTGTTTGGTGAATACCTGTACTACTCATTTTATATATAGTAGTATACTTATACTCCGTATATTATATACTATTAACATGATATTACATATATATAAACATTTATTCTAGTAGTTACATTTTCATTAATATACAGCAATACATTTATCCTATTAATAGTAGTTGCATTCTCATTTTGTTACATTCTCATTTTTTCAACTTTAAGATTTGATACATTCTCATTTTTTTGTTACATTCTCATTTTATATTATTTGTGACATTCTCAAATTATCTAATTGCTATTGAGTACAATTCATAACAATTGATGAATTATATATTTGCTATTAAGTACAAATAAATCTTTCATCACACATTCAATACTCATAAATAATGCCATATATTACATTCCGTATACTTCAATTCGTATATTATTATACTATCGTATCACATTCTATATATAATATAGTTTGAAATATGAATGTTACATATTCTGTTTCATTCCCTTCCAAATTTTGCAACGTAAGCGCATAAGGATCACTACAAGAAAATTACACTTTGCCCACAAATCATATTTGTATTGAAAGATTCTTTTTTGTATTCTAAAATATTTCCCTACGATTTTATTTTGTAGTGTAATTTGTGACGCAAACCTTGTAGGGAAAATTCTTAGGACACAAAGTTTAAGACTTTGTATGTTGAGATATAGGAGGACAAACCTTTAGCACACAAATAAAACGTCTAGGCTTAACTCTTCCTAACAAATACATTCATGGAAAAAAGTTATTTACAAAGACAAAATGTGTTGTATAAAAAAATCTGAGAATACAAATATCACAGAGTACGTATATATTGTTATGTAATTATGGATGTCCATTAGTCTCCGGGCCAAGTCCATATATCTGGCCCATGTAATAAGTGTAATCCTAGATCCCCACTTGTATATATACGCTATATGTGTATGAATAAAGTGCTTGCAACTCAATCTATAATACGTTATCAGCACGATTGATATTATAGCAATGACATCCAATTTTCTCATCAACTGCCACATTTACCGAACTTTAAACTATATCAGGAATGTAGTCTCAAAATCATTCAATCTCAAGTATTGTCACCCCACATGCACAATATCTTGATTTATGGGACTTCAGGCCCAATATAAATATCTTCTCATCCATAAGCATCGATCATAATTCACAAAATTTAGGACTACAGGTCCATCATATTTCGTTTGGCCAGACTTTATTATTATGGATTATGAATCGATAGTCTTGGAAAAATAAATCATTGACGTCAATATAATAACTATGATTCTTATTTCATCAAAATCCTCTATATGAGCCATAAAAGAGGAATCCATGTTCTGTATCATATAAATTATTAGCTGCAGCATTTAACTTATATCATTCTCTTGTAGTGACTTACCGTAATAAAAATCGGTTTTATTTTATATACACATAATGACCGTCTAACCATGCTTCATGCATGTCTCCTTGGATGGAATTAGTCAGGTATTTGAAAAGTACCAACGTGAACGAGAACTAAGAGAGAAACAACGCCAAGAGAGGCGAATTGGACAGATGGCTTCCAAGAGGGGAAGTCGTAATGCGTGTGAGGCACATAGGGAGAGTACTAGAGATCCAAGTACCGAGAGTCCTATTATAAGGGTCTCTAAGTATCTTAAAGAGGCAAGGGCACTCGGATGTAAACCGTTTGATGGAACGGGGGATATATCTGAGGCCGATGAATGGGTTAAGAGGCTTAATGAGGCAGCCGATGATATGCAATTGACGCCTAACCTGAAGATGAGGGTTGCCACTAGAATGTTGGAGGGATTAGCTTCAACATGGTGGGAGGGTGTCAAGGGGAAATACAACAGAGACGTCACGTGGGACAACTTCGAGCTTGAATTCTATAGACAATACTACTCTTCCTTTGAAGTAAATCAAAAGAGGAGGGAGTACACTACCATCAAACAAGGTGACGAGTACACCGTCAAACAATTGGAACAAAAGTTCCGAGACTTGGCTAGATATCTTCCTGAATATGCAAAGAATGAGGACCGTATGGTCGACCACTTCTGGAACGCGTTGAATTTGGAGATGCGTGAGAGGGCGGCGTACCAAAAGAACATGACTTTTAATGAGGTGGTGACACGAGGCCTTATTGGGGAAGAGTTGTGGGAAGAAAGAAAGGCTAAAGATGCCGAGGAGGCTAGAAAGAGGATGTGGAAAATCAATGATTCCCATGATCAAAGCAAAAGGCAAAATGTCGGGGTGGAGAGAGGTTTTAAAATGCCTATGCCACCGTCAACGTACAATCAAGGGTCTGTGACCCAAGGAGGGGAATCCTTAAGTTCTAGGGTGCGAAGATGTGATAATTGTGATAAGTACCACTATGGGACTTGTCGTGAACAAAACAGGTGTTTCTTTTGTGGGGATGCGGGACATATGAAGTTCCATTGTCCTCAACGGGGAAGTAACACTACTTCAGGAGCTAATGGGGGAACCGTGGGAGATATGAACCTAGCAGGGCCGTCTCAAGCGAGCACACGACGTAGTGGGGACTGGGGATAATGTGAGCAACATACACCCCGGGAATCAAAGAAGAACTCAACGATGAGTTCACACGAGGAAGGAGGCAAATTCTGGCATGAGCGCGTCCACCGTTACAGGTATTCCTACTTAAAAACTTGATTTCAATGCATGTTTAAGTAATAGGGGTTCCAGGGGTCAATTGCCGGCCGGCCTAGGGGGGAAACCGGCCGGTTTTGGCAAGGAAAACGAAAAACATTTTTGGAAATGGCAAAACCGGGCGGCTTGGGTGAAACCCGGCCGGCTTTTGGATTAAATTAAATCAAATTAAACTGCGGCAACAAAAACCGGCCGGCTTTTGTAAAGACCAGCCGGCTTACGGAAATTGTGAAACTTCGTAAACACTCAAAACCGCC